CTTTCCTTCAGCAGCTATGTCGTACAATGTCACGAGTGGCGCTGCGTGCGATGAAGTCAAACGTCGCTCATTTTTCACTCAGCAAGAGATTTTAATGGTGCGCAAATTTTGCGAATACAGATTGGGAACATGGACCCTTTTCTTTCTCTATACGTTTGCCTTTTGATCATAGTCAAACAGTAGAGCGACTCGACACACTGAAACGCACGCATGCCTCTCCATCCTGATCCTGCCACATTAAGGTAACGAGCGATTGTCTGGTTCCTCTCCGGTAAACATATGGGTGTAGCCCAGTGCCTAGGAACGTAATCAGCGAGTTCAAAGATTGCTATATCATTTTCTGAGCTACATTCATTGTAGTATTCATGATAGTACACCTGAAAATACTTATAAGGTTTGCAAGAAAACAGAATGAATCTGGAGGCCAGAACGTTGAATTCACATGAGCGGGCGTCATCCACGGTATCCTGCATCTATTTGGATCAATACATCGACTACCGACGAAGACCGAAAAAGTGTCGGATCTAGCCTGGCGACTGTTACTGGAAAAATGTAATCAGCAAAGGAACTGATTCTAGAAATAGTCCTGAAATTCGATCAGTTACCTGAAACCGATCTGTGTGCATTCCTCCTTTGGTAAAGCTGGCGCTCTGGTATAAAACAAGCAATGAGCGGCAGTCAAAATATGAATTGGCGAGATAAGCACTCCACTGCATGCAGTAGCTGCAATCGAGATCATGTGCTGGCGCTGTCGTGGTTTTTTGGAGGGAGAGACAAGCGCCAACGCGACCTTGTCTGCTCTGCGAGATTACGCTGTCCCGACTCTAGTCCTCCCTGCGTCATTATAAATTCGAGGGGGGGGGGAGTGCCGAGAGTATCGTAGGTTGCATCGCAGCCACGCGCGGCCCATCGTGACGGTGCAGCAACTTTTATCACTGGACCTTAGCCCAATGATTAGACAAGTGAACTCCACATAGACTGAAACGTATGAGTTCTGGTTTTTTGGTTATACGTCCCCATCTACACCTATACCTAGTCTGAGCCACGGCCGGAAACGGTATGTCAAGGCGCCGCCGCGTG